AACTCGTAGCTGCGGTGCCCAGGACACAGTAAATCCCTTCTTGGAGGTACGTTCGCAGAATTCCTTATACTTCTCTACCGGATTGCCAATGAGAAGTTCTGGCCGTAAAACCCACAGGAAAGGCTTTCCGATTGCTTCCAGTCCCACCGCAATCTCCTCAAACTGTTCGACAGTCACGACCGCAATGCTGCCAAAAGATATGTAGAGAACGGAAGCCTTTTCCTGCTTGTCGAGCCACCGCAGGCACTCGTCGTCCTCGTTCCTGAGCACCACGTTGGTTGGTCCGATCTCGGAGGTCTGCTCGTCCAGGAGAAACATCGGACCGACGGAGAGAAACTCCGTGCCACCTTTGCGGAGCTCGGCCGCCATGAAGTCGGAAGCTTCCGGCTCCAGATCGTAAAAGGAGTTGACGAGCACGCAGGAGGCCTTGCGGATGTAGGGGACTCGCTGCACGGAGTACTCCGCCCAGAGATGATCGTCAGCTTGCAAGTAGAGAGGTATGTCGGCTTGATGAAGAGGTCCCAGTCCCTTGATAATCCCCACTACAGATTCATCCGCGACAAGCTTCTTCGCTGCAAAATTTTGAGGCGTACGTGAATCCCATTGAAAGTGGAGTTACCTTCGGTCAAGCTGGGAAAGACATGGCCCCCGGCGATGAGCTCGGGTATGTGATACTCAATCGTGGTCCAGGCAGCGGATCCAGGCCACAGAACAATCCTTGGAATCCCGAACTTATCAGCAACGTCCTGGGTCCAGAAGAAGAAGTAGTCCGAGATTATGCAGCGGACCGGCGAGATCTCGAGAGAGAGTTTGGAGACGAGATGCTCGAGAGCTGGGATCATCTCGGTGGTGGTCTTGAAGAACTCACCCAAGTGAGTGAGAGTGTAAGCATCCAGGCCGTGTGGGATCTTCCAGGAGAGTGGGATTGAGACGAGGCGGAGGTCCGTATTGGGTGGAGCTCTCCAGTGCTTGATCATCTCGTCGTGGAGGCTGTCGACATTGACGAACGAGACGGTGAATCCATCTCGAGCGGCGATCTTTTTACAGAGATGCATCATCGGAGTGATGTGTCCCTGGCCTGGGACGGGAAATGCGAGGACATGAATATTTGGAGACGACGTACCTTGAGAAGCCATAGCCACGGCAAGACTGGATGGGACAAACCTTTAGAAAGTTTGAAAAGAATTGGCCTCTTGCTAGTTATTTGATTTAGTGATTCTCAAGCTTTCTATCAGATGCTTATGTAAATCAAGAGCATGCTTTGCTGGGAAAGCTCACTGTTCTGGAGACAATCACTTACTCTGTTTATTTGAGGCAGCCTACCACGCAGCCAAAAGAGGAGATGGTTGACAGTGAGATGGGGCTTGGAGACAGTGGTTCTTGCATGGATTGAGTGGAGGGAAGAAATGAAGAGTGAGCATTGCTTTGGACACTCAAACGCAGTCATGTCTTAGTGGTTTAGAGAAGTAATTATCATGTCTGATTTATTTGATGATTTTCTGTGCAAAGCATCCGCTTGTCATGTAGGCGCACTTTTATCATGTCAAATTCATCAGACAAGTAGCAAAGTGTTTTAGCAGTTTAATAATCTTTTCTTAATCTCTCAAGTTTATATTTTGGAAATACCATGGAAGATAGCATGGTATTCTTCTTAGAATTATCGATTCGGACTTTGACAGTGTTTAAGGTATTTTCATCTGTATAGCTTTTTAGGAAAATTTTCTTAATGATCTGAACAGGAAGATATTAGACTAAGGCATTTGGCTAACTCAAAAGATAATTACGAAGCAATCAAAGTGCTTACAAATGCATTTCTTACAAAAGCATATTATGTTCTAGTTCTCAGTTTGCATTTGAACTCCACCCCACACAAAAGTTAGGTGAAGGTTGAAGACAATTTGAGTGACACTTACTAGATGCCAGAAGATCATTTATAAATATGACAAGTGAAACGTGAATGACAAGCTCACGAAGCCATACTTTTAATTTTAAGCATTTATTTTCTTAGAGGTCCTACTATTAATTTTAAACATCAGAATTTTCCCATCTATGAGCTGAGTGAGTTTGATGATAGTAATAAAAATTCCTCAATAAACCAAAATCATGCTTAACAGGATTATAAAGTTCAACCATTTAGATCTTGAGAGATCTATTTGATATTGTTTAAGAATTGTTGTTCCAAATAGAAACTCAAGCCCTTGAAAATCATTTTCATAAAGACCCTGTTATGAAAATGATTTTCAAGGGCTTGAGTTTCTATTTTATTTATATCTTAATTTTTCCAAGAAGCATCAGCATTGTGGATGATCTCTAAACTCCAGGAAAGAATCAATGGCTCATAAATTTTTGTAAAATTATAAGACACTACTACTTTTGGAGAGAGATGTATACGTTGTTGTCGTTGGTTCCCATTTTGACTATCTCCTATCACACATTGGAATCACAAAACAATGAATGCACACACACACACGGAGGACCATGTGACGAGCTACGAGCGACTTAAATATGGGAAAGGAGAACATACGGTGACGAGATGATGGTGTCAAAGAGTGGACGCACTGTGAGCAGCCAGTTCTGCTCATTGTGAATCCTCTTGACTCCTGCCAGGCTCCATCCGGGACGTGCTGGATATGAGACCCTCGGCAGCTAGTTGACCAGATCAAGTGCTGAGATCCACATGGCGGTGATCATTGCACCTTCCATACTCTAGCGGATAAAAGCCGGGATTGTCTTCACTGTCCAAGAAGAAATGGGATACCGTCTCATCGAGTCGAGAGAGCACAACTTCATCACCACCGCGTTGAAAAGGTTGTCCAAGAACCGAAAGATAGTGGTGCTCGGGAACACGCAAGTGAAACGAGCAGCAATCGTCTCGTTCCTCGTCCGGACCACTGATTCCAACGGTGGAATCCAGCAAACCGTGATGCAAGGCCGGTTTGTAGCCAAGCTCCTCAACGATTTGTTTGGGATCCAGTCGAGAGGAGGATGCTCGTGTGCTGGTCCTTAAGGCCACTCGCTTATCAAAGTCAGTGATGAGCTCTCCCTGAAATTTCGAGCAGCAATTCAAGAGGTTGAGAAGCAAAACAATAGAAGGTTTCGCCAAGGAGCTTTTTCTAACGAGGAAAGAACCTTTTTTTTTTTCTCACAGGGATATAGCGGTGTCAAACCTGGATGGACGCGCTTGAACTTCGCATACTTCCTCTCCAAGGAAGAGTTCCATTTCTTGCTGTGCGCCATAGAGTTCGTGGCGGACTATGGCCAGCGCTTTCTCCCCCTCTACGAATTCGAGTGGCAGACTGGGAACTGGAAATACGAGGAGAAGAACAGCATCAACACCACCGCCAAGGCCACATTACACAAGGAATGGACCAAACTCCCACTACTCCAGCAGCACAAAGATTACCTGGGCACCGCTATGGCGATTGCCAAGCAGCTGGCACACGATCCAGGCCAGGGCAGCACGGCACCCGCCGGCATTGATCCCGAGCTCGTTACCTTCCGACTCTAGGATTCTTGAGCGCTATATTCATTTTCGCATCAATTCAAACAAAAGTTTGTGTGGTGGGATATATATACTTTACGCAACCCATCTCCAAAGTCAACGAGTCTTTCAGTGACTTCGCAAGACTCTCCCGGTTCTCAAGGTACGTCGTCTCCAAAGATCCATGTCCTCGCATTTCCCAGGAGAAAAATCAAGCCTAGGTTAGATCAAGAAGAGAGACACCCTAAATCGAATCCTTCTTGGGGCGCTCTCTAGCTCCAGATCTGGTTGAAGGGTGAGACAGTCTCTAGGCATTCGGTTTGGATATCACTTTAGCGCCTTCGCTTTTCTTGAAGTCAAGAAAATATCACTTTTCCGAGGTCAGGGTTTTTGTTGATGGTTTCAAGTGCAGGATAAAAGCGCTAGGCCTTGCGATCAATAGCTGCGCCAACACTAGCGAAGCTACCATACAACATGCCTTGTGAACACTGTTCATGCACACCATCCTGAAAAGGAACCCCGGAAACTTCACTTGGTGTTGTGGCAAGGAACTGTGTCAAATGCGTTGACGAAGCATTATAGTAAGTGGGTGTTTAAGGAACTCAGCTGTGAGTCCTGTTGCTTCTCGTCGCTGCAGTGATAGGAATGTCACTGAGGATAGTCACCGGTTTCTTCTTTCGAAAAATGTGGTGAGCACGGGCTGGATCTCAGCAGAGGTCGGCATAGATATATAGATTATAGACACTTTTCATTTCCAAACAAAAGTTAACACTCTATATGTAGACAATTCTTGTGACACACAATTCTCTATATTGTTAGAGAATTCACTTAATTTGTTGTGTTAGAACTTACTTAGCATACTTTGGATGAAAATGTTCTTTATAAAGAATTCAACTGTACTTCATAGCAATATGTTGTTATAAAATACTAGGCTTATCCTTATCGTAGAAGGATAAATTTGATGGTACGTGGCTCTCAAAGCAAGAGACCACGATAAAAAGGACAATCGGTCAAGAAATATATTCTAAGATAGATTGAGTGATTAACAGTATGGTATCTGGAATGATCGACCTTTAGCCCACCTGTCCAAAGGTTTCTACTACTGGCAGCAGAATCGATCAAGTCCTTCTAAAGCGCGTTAAAGAGAAAAAAGCGAAGCGCTTTTACTTTATCTTTTGCTTTATTGTAGGGTCTGAGCGAATATTCCCGCAGCTTAACCCTAGCCACGTGGAGGGAAGCCGACCACCAGAATTCGTCGTTCCCGTGCTAGTAAAAATGCCACGTGTCCACAAAATATCTCGTGTGCTGGTTGGCCACCCATTTGATCCTCTCACCACTCGCGTCCCTCCATTAGATCCGCATGATTCGCCGCCAACGTGGACAGGATCAGCGAGTCCCGGGACGCCGCGTGGCATGCCAGCTCGACTTGGCCGGGGAAAAATCTTCCGAGATTTCCGCCCTGCTGGCTGAGCCACGTCCGCGTGGTGTGCGCCAGCTAGGATTGTGGAAGGGTCGACTATAATCTTTCTTTCTTTTGTTCGCGTCTATCCTTCCTTGCCGCTGTGGATTCGCTTCGCAAGCTTCGCCAGTGCTGCGCCGCAGGAATTCCTGGGCGTTGGAGCGCGGATCGCTGGGAATTGTGGGTAAGGGCGCAAATCTTCCCGGTGGGTCAGACATGGAGGATCAAGCTGGAGCTCACGGGGTTTCCTAATGTCCCGCGAGGTGAAGCCCCGAGCTCCTGGAGTGCCGCCGTCCCGGCTAAGCGTAGGACAGGGGACAGATGGTTGATCCAGCCACAAGATCAAGGGAGTGGTGTCTAGGATCTTAGCTCTCGAGGATAGGAATCGCGGGTCTCCTTTGATGAATAAGGTGGAAGGCGTGCTTGTTAACGGTACTACTACTACTACTACCGCCACCATAGCTAGTAGCGTGTCGTGTGCTCTTAGGGGAGAGGCCAGCGGCGAGAATGGCAAAGGAGCACAGGGTAGCAACGAGAATGGAGCTCCTCCCACGAACAATAGCTCCGACGACAACGATAGCGGGAACGATCTAAAGAATGCGGAGCCAAATTCGAAGATCCATGCGAGGAACCAAAAGGAGGAGCAAGAGCTCCAGCCAGAGGGGGAGGAGAAGCATCGCCATCGCCAGCAGCAGCAAGCTGAGAATGCTTTCCAGCATCACCACCTTAAAGTTCTTCTCGTGGAGGACGACGACTCCACCCGGCACGTCGTGGCGGCGCTCCTCCGGAACTGTGGCTACGAAGGTTACTGTCTTGGTTTCTCGGATCACGATTCTAATTGTCGGCTCTGTGCTTGTGCTTGAATCTCAGTCACGCCTGCCGCTAGTGGCTTGCAAGCCTGGGAGATCCTCGAGACGAGATCCAGCAGCGTCGACTTGGTGCTCACGGACTTGATGATGCCGCGGCTGTCCGGGATCGAGCTCCTCGGCAAGATCATGAGCCGTGACTCACCCAAGAGGATACCAGTTGTTAGTAAGTGTTTGCTGCGCTTGCGAGTGCCATGGTCTAACGCTTCTCGGATTTTTGCAGTGATGTCTTGCCTGGACTCGATGGACGTTGTGCTCAAGTGCTTGTCCAAAGGCGCGGTCGACTTCCTCGTGAAGCCGGTTCGCAAGAACGAGCTCAAGAACCTGTGGCAGCACTTTTGGAGGATGTGCCTGAGCGTAAGCTGTTGACATATGCCTTGGAGTTCGTGTTTGCTGATGAAAAATCCCGTTTTTCTTGGCTGCGTGCTCGAAAGTCGAGTGGCAGTGGCAGTGGAAGTGAAACTGGAAAGGCTGCCGGGGGGAACAACAACAGTCAGAGCTACGGTGGAAGTGAGCATGGAAGTGGCTTGAACGTCGGAGGTGGGAGTGACAATGGTAGCGGTACCCAGGTAGGCTTTTTGAGCGTCTCGCTTTCGTTCTTTCGTGTCTACGCCTCTCTTTCTCTCCTGCAGAGCTCGTGGACGAAGAAGCCAGTGGAAGTTCAAAGCCATGCCGCCGAGGAGCTGGTTCTCCAGCGTGACAAACGTGGTATTCTTTCTCGAGTCCAATCTTTCCGTGAGATAACTGGTGGTTGGCTTGCAGAGGAGATCGACATCGATCGTGATTGCGGAGAGGTGGCTATGGCGGAAAAAAGCAGGACTGCTTCTCAGCTGCTCGGCGATCATCTTCTCGGAGCAAAGTCCACCATTTCGAGTTCCATCACCATTTTCGAGAGGGCTCCATCGCTCGCGGCGGGAGGGAAGAGTGGAGGAGGAGGGGAGCCTTCGTGCAAGGATTTACTGGCGAGCATACAGAAGCAAGCGGCGTTTGAGCAGCCGGGTGAGAAACTAGACTCCAAGGATAACTCGGTGCCTTCCAACGATTCAGCGCTCGAGTTGTCGCTGAAAAGGACGCGCGTTAAGGGGCCAGACGACGGCGATGGCGAGCAAAAGCGGCTCTTGCATCATTCCGGTGGATCTGCCTTTTCAAGGTCGGGTTTTTATCTTTTTCTTTCACTTTTACGATAAAGATCACTGACACTTTGCGTGTCTCAGGTATAGCAACAATCCTTTGCTCCAGCACAACTCGACTTTGAGCTCTTCCATCGCCGCCAACCTCTGGTTTGGAAACGAGAAATCCACACCAGCGGCAGCAGCAGACCAGAATCACCACCATGCAAACGCCGCGGCCGCGGCCGCTGAAGTCCTCAAGCCTCCAAAAGCCGAGGCAGCGGCGGTGGCGGCCGCTGCCGCCGCTGCCGCAGCCGCCGCCTCCCAGTTCAAGCTCGCAGCCTCGGACTTCGTGGCATTTAACGACATCGCGGCAGCTTACGCTCAGTCTCTCCATCACTTTTTCTACCACGGCTCTTCTCCACCGGCGTGGCCGCCTCCGATGCTAGCAGCTCCTCACCAGCAGCAGCAGCAGCAACAACAACAACAGCAGCTCCAGCATCATATCCAACTCCAGCAGCAGCAGCAGCACCACCACCAAGAACAGCAGCAAGATCAAAGCCAAAAACAGCAGCAGCAGCAGCAACAACAACAACAACACCACCATCACCACCACCACCACCACCATCACCACCAGCATGCACAGCAGCCGCAGGAGGAGGACGAGCTAACCGTGAACAACAACACCAACACCAGCAACAACAACACTACCAACAATGCTAACTTGATGAGAGTTGGAAGCACTCAGCAGTGTGGATCGTCCAACGTGAGCGTCAAAGCTCCCAAGGCCGGTGTTGGCGGTGGGGCTACTAACAACAGTGGTGGCAACGAGGAGGCGAGCAATGGTGGCAGTAGCAATGGCTGCGGCGTGAATGGCACCAATGGTAGCGTGAATGGTAGCGTCTCGGGTAGCAACAATCTTAGTGCCAACAACAATAACATCCACAAAGGCCAGGGGAGCTGCAGTCTAGCGGCTGGTAATGGTGACAGTGGTGGTACCAACAATGGGAGCAGTAGGGGTGGGAACGCTACCGCTGCTACGGGCGTGACCAATGGTAGCAACACTAGTAACACCATCAATGAAGCGGGTGGAGCAACACAAGTTCCAGACAGTGCTCGGCTCACGCGGCGAGAGGTTGCTCTCTACAAGTTCCGGCAGAAGAGGAAAGAGCGGTGTTTCGAGAAGAAGGTATGTTCTTCCTTCGCCTTGTTTGTGTTCTTCTCATTTCGTTTGTGTTCTTCGTGCTTCCCTCGTTTTGTTTGTGTTTTTCGCGTTCTCTTCGTTTTGTTTGTGTTCCTTGTGTTTCTCTTCGTTTTGTTTGTATTCTTCGTGTTTCTCTTCGTTTTGGTTGTGTTCTTCGTGTTTTTCTCTTTTGTTCGATTTTTCTTTTCCTTGCTTTTAGTTCCTAGTGAAAGCATTAGAGTTTCATGCTTGGCGAGAATGCGAGCGGAGAGAGGTCTCAAAACTGTTTTTTTTTTCTTGTGCTCTGAAAATTCGGTTTTTTCTTTTCCTTGCTTTGTGAACTTTATCATTTTCGTGATCTTCTCAATGCTTGACGAGAGTGCGAGGAGAGAAAGCTTTTTTTTTTCCTTTGATGGATCGATTTCCAAGTGCTTGAAGATGTGAGAATTGTCACAGCTAATTCTAATGTCTTGTTCTTCCAGGTCCGATACCAAAGTAGAAAGAGGCTGGCCGAGCAGCGTCCGCGAGTGAGAGGCCAGTTCGTGAAACAAGCTGCTGCTGCTAACGCGGAAACTCAAATGTGTGACGACGATGGAGAGCTGGACGGAATTAACCACGCAGCCGAAGATCACACTGCTATAGATCAAGACCAAGATCAATGACAATAACGAATCATTTAACTAGCAAGCACCAAGACGAGGAGGAGCTCTCTCGCAAAGAGCTCCTTGGGCGAGACTGGAAGAATTCCGGTGGAAGGTCCGAAGGCTTGGCTATGGTGGACGATTGCGAGCTAACTGTATGTATACTTGGTTTTAATTGGAGTGAGAAATTAGGGTTTTCTATGTGCTATGTTCCTCCCACGCTGTCTAGCGGCGCGCGGAGATCCATCGCGCGTTCCGGAGCTCGGGAGGAGGGATCTCGTCTCGGCGGCGCAGGAGGAGCATCGTGAAGGTAAGCGCCGGTGGGATTGGATCGGTTTTCCAAAGAAATTTCTCTGGTTTTGGTAGAAGAGGTCGATGACGAGCCCGTCAAGGAGCGGTGCGTGGAGCAGCGAAATGCCGGCGATGGCGAGCCGCGGTGCGCCGTGTGTGGGCGATTTGGGGAGTACATTTGCGACGAGACCGGGGACGATGTGTGTAGCCTGGAATGCAAGAAGGTGGTGGTCAGGTACAAAGAGCTCACTTCGAATTCTCACAAGGCTAGGAACGAGCAGTGGGAGATCGACCAGGAATCCATCACAGGCGGTCTTTCGATCCAGGAAGCTCTAGCTCTGAGAGAAAGCATCGGTGTCTCGGTCCGCGGAGGAGGAGGAGCTCCGCCACCTCCTCCCATCCTCGACTTTGGACAGTGTGGCTTCGCTCCCAGGCTCATGGAGAACTTGTCAAGCGCTGGCTACGAGGCTCCCACTCCAATCCAGATGCAAGTTCTCCCAGCAGCTCTCGCAGGGCGCGACTTGCTCGTCTCGTCTCACACCGGATCCGGGAAAACGCTGAGCTTTCTACTGCCGATCATCGCCAGGTGCTGTAAGATCCGGAGTGGAGGTCCGGACGAGGACGACGAGACGTCTCGTCCTCCGCTCGCCATGGTCTTGACGCCGACAAGGGAGCTAAGCTCGCAGGTGGAGGACCACGCTAAGATTCTCGCCAAGGGCCTGCCTTTCAAAACCGCGCTGGTGGTCGGAGGAGATGTGATGCCGCAGCAAGCGTATAGGATCAGGAAGGGAGTGGAGCTCATTGTGGGGACTCCAGGCAGGCTTTTGGACGTGCTTTCCAGGCACGAGGACGTCAACTTGGCCAAAGTTTCCGTGCTCGTGCTCGACGAAGTGGACTGCATGTTGGAACGGGGCTTCCGTGAGCAAGTCATGCAGATCGTCCGGGCTCTCCCGACCCCGCAGGTGATGCTTTTCTCGGCTACTGTTCCTCCCGAGATCGAGAAGTTTGCGACGTCGATCGCGAAGAGTTTGATGGTCATCTCCGCGGGTCCGCCGGGTGCTCCCACTGGTGCCGTGCAGCAGACGGTTGTCTGGGTGGAAACGAAGAACAAGAAGAAGAAGTTGTTTGACTTTCTTCAGAGTTCTTCGCGCTTCCAACCGCCAGGTGTGGTGTTTGTCAACTCTAGACTTGGAGCGGAGCTTTTGGCCGACGCCATCTCCAAGGTGACGAAGTTGCGGTGCGCTTCGCTGCACGGGCACAAGGCAATGAAGGAGAGGCGTGAGGTGCTGAAAAGCTTCCTGGTTGGGAGCTTGGACGTGATCGTTGCTACAGGAGTTTTGGGGCGGGGGTTGGATCTTCTCAGAGCCACGCAGGTGATCATCTTCGACATGCCAAACACTGTCCAGGAGTACACTCATCAGCTCGGGAGAGCGTCGAGATTGGATGAGCCGGGTACTGCGATTGCTTTCATCAACAACGAAAGCAAAGCCCTTTTTCAACAGCTTGCTCAACTCTCCCGGAGTGCTGGAGTTGCTTTACCGAAACCAGTGACTTCTTACGTCCGGCCAAGAAAGAGAAAAGCAAGATGAATCAGAATATTCACTGGTAAGGCTTCCTCCTTTTTTTTCCTTGTGCGTGCATCGTGCTCGCTTTTCTATTACAAACTGTCAGGCATTTTTCTTTACAGGGGCATTCATTCGTGCGGCATCTAGCTACTGCAACAAAACAGCTTTTTTTTTTTTTCTTTGTTCCTCCGATCCAGTAAGTGATCCATTAAGTATTCTTTTCCAAACCAAACGTGTTCATCGTTTTTCCACTTTAATAGTCCAGATCCTGAACGCGTCGGAGGGACGGCACCGTGAGGCAGCTGAGACATCCTAGAAGACCCTGGCTGTAAGGTAGCAACGTCTTCCTTCTCAATTCTTGCGGCTTGTGATTCTTGCTGTAATTCTGGAGCAGCTCCCGCGAGGACACAGGAGTGACTTGCCTGGACGCGGCGGAGTTCCCTCCGCTCGATGAAACGGACGAGCTCCTCGAGTTGGAGAACCTCTGAGACGACGAGGAGTTGCTGGAGCTTCTACTGTCAGTTCCAGAGGACTTGAGACTGCCACTTCTACTGTCGGTTCCAGATGAAGATTTGCTGCCACTCCGGCTGTCGGAAGGCTTGAGGATGGCGAACTTGGTGCTCACGTTGAGGTGGAGCAACTCTCGCAAGCTTCTCCGTGGAGACGATGGTGGAGGATGACGAGACCGGCTCCTAAAACTATTCTCGAAGCCAACCTTCGCAAGCTTGGACGGCGACCTGGATCGATGCGGAGATTGCAAAGGCGAGGATAGCCGGGGTGGTGACTTGAGCAGCGGTTTTGGAGATGGAAGCTGGTGGCTGGACAGCGCTGCTCCGGGGCTAAAGACATCACTCGTCCGTGGACTAAAATCCTGGAGCTGAAGAGAGATGGACTTGTGGTGCTTTAAGCGGCTGGGAAGCGTGAGTGGAAGGATCTGTCCTTGGAAGAAGAGCTCATCGGCGTGGGAGACTACCGAGTCGGCGTCAGATATCCTGGCGGAGCTAAACTCAAACTCGTCGATCAATCCTCCATTCACCTGGTGGTCGAATTCTCCTCGCTGGGGGCTCACCGGAGCACTGAAGTGGAATCCCATTCCCATGGCTGCCAGATGATCCACCGAGTTCTTCATCGTCGTCCTGGAAGAAGAAGTTGGCGACGATGACTTTGGAGTTCCTGGACGCTCCTCCCAGGAGAAAGGCACCGCCGCCTCGGCTCCGCCTAGATCATGCCTGGGAGGAGGACTCGGTGGCGCGCTGTAGTAGCAGTAGCGGGGACTGGAGGGGGCGCTCACGAATGGGGTGGAGCAAGCGCTGCTAGCTTGATCCTCCGGGAAGAAGCTACTCGAGAACGATGATCTCCTCCTGGGCGATCTCAGTTTCTCGATCGAGAGCTCCATGCGCTGCTATAGCGGAGAAGTTCCAGAAGGAAAGAGAGAAAGTGAGAGCCCTCTATCTCTGGGGAGGAAGAGAGATGGGCTATAAAGCAAGGGGATTGACCCGTGGACCACGGCGGCGCCGCTGGGTCCGGTCGGGCGCTATAGTGGGGCCTGGCTGCGCCGCTACTAGCTTCCTTTAGAGCGCGCGGCGCCCGAAACGACCGCGCGGTCTGGTGGGAGGTTGGTGTACCGTGCGGGTAACGGTGCGTTGTACCGCGTTAGGTGGATATGCCGCCACACACACAGCACTCTTTGTTTGACGAGTTGACGAACGAGCAAGGCATGGTAGCACGTAGCGAATTGGCTTAATCGGACAAACCGCGCAGCTTCCTTTATTAATGGAGAGTAGCTTCTTCGCGGCTTCACTTTCTTGCACGTGTCTCCCCCGGATTTGGTCGACGCTCGTGGGCGGTAAGAAAATAAGAAAATGGTTTGAATTTAGAATCTAGAATATTCTTAGTATAGTAGAATATGCCTTTTCACATGGGAATATTTTGCTCTTGAGTAGAGAATCTAACGCTGGCGCTGCCAGGTGATGCTGTGAATATCGCAGGAGTTTCGCGTGGTAAACCCCTAATTCTCGGCGCTGTGGGGCAATGGCGGTGATCCTGGTGAGTGTTCTTGAAATCTCCCTCCCGATCTCTCTTCTCGTCTCTCAATCTTTGCGCGCACCTCATTGAATCGGGGTTTTGATCGCAGCGGTGAGCAAGAATCCTCTCGATCGCCGACATATTGTGGAGCATTTCCAAGAAATCCAAGAATGTGACCAAAGAATGGCGCGATCGGTGTGACCCTAGGATTAGAGTGCATTGGAGCTTGGCATGGCGGCAATGGCGATGGTGTTAGGGCCGATGTCTCCCTTGAGCTGCCACGACATTTGCTACGAGTTTTGTGCCCCGCGCTTCTTCGATTTCTGCGTGGATGAGACTGAAGAACAGGTCCGAGCCGTGGAGAGGTGGTTTGAGATCGCTGCTGGTTACGAGCCATCACGTAAGTTCCACCATCTTTTTTTCTTGTGCTATTAATATAGTGTGGTATTTCCTTCTAACAGCTTGTGCATTCTCCGACTCCAAACAAGACCAGGTCTGTGATGGCTGATAAAAAGACAATGTTTCCGACGATTTTTCCTAACACGTGATGTTAATTTCGATCCAGATCACACATCCGGATAGAGACGAGCAACTGTAAGGCTATCAGCAATTTGACTTGTTGTTTCTCACGACTTTTACAGGAAGTTGAAGCTTTTGATCCGATTAGACAACCAGACAACGGACACTACAGCCACGACGACTTCTCTGGGTGAGTAGGATTTATCATGTTCAACTTGGACGTTTTTGTTTTGTTGCAGCTGCTGGTTCAGATTTGCCAGAGGTGATAGATCTCTCAACGCCCAAGAAAAATGAATTCATAGTAAGCGCGGACACTGGCAGCGATGAAGTGCCGGAAGATTCTGCCAGGATGCAACCAGGTTTGACTGCAGATTTTCCTGCCAAGAGATTATGGGAACCAGCCGTTGTGAAAAAACAAATGAAAAGGTACGTAATCTTCTATGAAACTGGAAATATTTAAATCGACGCTTGATTTCTATGCTTACAGGCATACTCACGATACTACGAAAAAGAAGAAAGCCATTGCCAAGCAACAAACAGCCCCAACACCTCAAGGAAATTCCTGTAAAAGACGAAAACTAGATGGAGGACAAAAGCAGGTGAGAGTTCTATGCATTTTAGTTGTTTCAAAACTAAGCCAACATTGTAGGCGCAGGCGCATAAGTATACGCCTGCTCCAACCGTTCCTCAAATATTTCAGCTTTCAACGGACAAGAGAGCACAAATGCATAGAAAAGGAGGACATGACAGTGTTTCAAAGGTGATTTTTGAATATTGGTATGTCTAAAGTTTAACGCGATCTCCTTCAGATGGGAGATCTGAGCACTTTCGTATCAGTGGCTGAACAAGTTCAACGGTTTCACCTTAGAACACCTGCACCCTTTCAGAAGCAAAATGTGAGAGCATATTTTACTTTTTAATTTCTAACGTCCTATTAAATCAGAAACCAAAATTGACATTGTCAAGGCCAAAGGATCCAGAACTAGAAACTTCTTCTCGATCACGACCTCCGAGGCTAGTTGTTTTGCCCGTGCTTTGACATCGTTTGATAAGACTAATTCGTATCGTCTTACCAGGGTAAAGAGCGCTACCGAGCTCGAGGAAGAAATTCTTTCTAAAATGCCAAAGTTCAAAGCGCGCCCCGCAAATAAGAAAGTAAGACTTCTCATGATGAAAATTCTCGCATTTAATGTTCACAGATCCTTCAAGCCCCGACTTTGCCTGCTTTCCCGAGAAGTACTCCTGAGTTACCACGATTTCAGGTATACGAAAATATAAGACTTCGGTATGTCGACAAATGTTCTACAGGAATTCAATCTGAGAACGAACGAGCGTGCTATGCAGCATACTTCGCTAAAGTGTGTGGAGCAGCCTTTGAACGTAAGTTTGTTGTTGTTATTTGTCCGATTTGAAAACAATTTGTTGTCTCCTCAGCTCTCAACAAAGAAGAAGCAAAGACGCAAGTCTGCTCCTGCGGGTCATATCTCCATACCAGATCGGCCAAGGTATCTTACTTTCTCTTAAGAGTCTCACATTTTACAAGTCTTCTTTCAGGGCCAAAAGCAGCGACGAACTGGTACAAGATGAGCGAGCTAAAGTTCCAAAGTTCAAGGCACTGCCATTCAACAAAAAGGTCGTCATTTCCTGGTCTTGTTTCACATTCACATCGACTTGCTGCAGGTCTTTGAGAGCCGAGGAGATTCGGGGATTTATCGACATCAGAAACGTCATGTGACAGTTCCATTGGTAAGTCAACTTGTTACTTTCAAGCAAGCTTCTGTTTGCAACTTTCTAGGAGTTTAATTTTGCCACAAAGGAAAGATGTCATCGAGAAGTTCTTAAAGGTTTCAGGAGGGTAAGTTCTCGCTTGAAAGAGTATAACTATATTATTCTACCTTGTGACAGCTTTCTCTTGACTCGCATCCTCGTCCAATCCGAGGAAAAACAATCGCAAAACCTTTCCATCTTCTGACAGAGGTTTGGTTTCATAATTCTTCACTAGTGTTAGCTTTGATCTGCAGGAACGAGGCTCGGCTAAGATGGGGAAGTTTATGGAAGAACTTTCGAAAGAGATGACGTCCGAAACGTTGTCAAGAATCCCGAAAGCGAATTTGTTGCCGTTCACAACGGATTTTCCAAACGTACGTTCATTCTTAATCAAGCCTGACAGATTCATTCTTTGTGCCATAGATACCTGCAAAACCAGCTCAGAAGCCATGCACAAGACCAGAACCGTTTCGGCTTGAGAGTTTAACGAGGCATGAACAGGAAGTGCAACGCTTAGCTGAAGATCGCGCTAGAGCGGATAAGCAAAGGGCAGAGTTGTCTAGATTTCGAGCCCAACCAATAAGCTGCAGGTACCTCTGCTACGCTCTAGTACTTCCGCCTACTACAGTCAGTTTCATGTTTTCATTCTTAACCTTCTTCCTGCCAACAGTGGTGCAGTATTTGTCCCTGGAAGATCCAGAAAGCCTCTGACTGAAATAAAGGAGTTCAATCTCAAAGCTGACAATCGGGCTATCCAACGTGCAGCATTTGAAAAGAAGGTCGGCTTTCCTACATGCTTTATTAATGCTCAGCAAGTTACACGTTCAGATTGTCGAGAAACAAAGCATGTATAAACAACTAAAGGAAGAGCTGGAATTAGCGAGAAAGGTAAGCCACATTCTCGCGATGAGATGCTACTACTGAATTATGATGGCAGGAGGAAGAAGAGAGATTCGTGAGAGCACTGAGGTGTGAAATGATTCCTCAAGCGCGTCCGGTGCCACTGTTTGACAGACCGTACGTCACACAAAGGTAAAGACGTCGCTTTGTCTGTTTCTTCTTCTCACTCAAGCTGGCACAGATCTACCAAGTCTTTAACTCTTCCAATCTCACCGCATTTTAATCTTCCTCTCAAGCATCAGCATCACCGTGGCACGTATCGCAAGTATCGGATGCGCTAAGCACGCGCTGATGGAGTCATGGAGGGAAGAATAAAATAAGCTTGTTTGGTTGCGTTCTTCACTTTTGCAGAGCCAGAATCGTTCAATCTTGAGAGCCAGAATCGTCCAATCTTGAGAGCCAGAAGCGGGAGGCGATGGAAAGCTCATCAAATCCCCTGATGGAACCATTCCAGCTGGGTCCGTTCGCTCTGTCGCACAGAGTCGTCTTGGCGCCAGTCACTCGCTGCCGAGCAACGGACCACATCCCTCAGCCTGCCAACGTCCTCTACTACTCCCAGAGAGCATCGCCTGGGGGCCTCTTGATCTCGGAGGCAGCAGCTGTATCGCAGCAAGGAATCGGGTGAGCATATTATTTTTCGATCTTTTCTTCTAATGGTCTCCACTGCTTTGCTTTCAGGTGGCCACATTCTCCAGGGATCTGGTCGGACGAACAGGTTCAAGCCTGGAAGCCCGTCGTGAAAGCTGTGCATGACAAAGGTGCCATCTTCTTTTGCCAGCTCTGGCACGTTGGAAGAGCATCACATACTTGTAAGTTCCTCTGTTCTTTCTAGATGGGAGGAAAGTAGCACAGAACTTATCTTCTCTATACAGGTTTCCAGCCCCGAGGCCAGTCCCCTGTCTCATCTACAAACAATCCACTTCCTCCCAGATGGACAGTCCGGCTCCCAGATGGAACACCGGTCCCATGCTCGGCCCCCCGAGCTCTCCAAACGGACGAGATACCGCAGCTCATCACAGACTTCCAGCTCGCAGCACGAAACGCCCTCGCGGCCGGATTCGATGGCGTCGAGATCCACGCCGCGCACGGCTACTTGCTCGACCAGTTCCTCAAAGACGGCATCAACGACCGAGACGACTCCTACGGTGGCTCCATCGCCAACAGATCCAGGCTCGTCCTCGAAATCCTGGAAGCCATCTGCCGAGAAGCCGGTCCGCAGCGCACTGCCGTTCGAATCTCCCCCATCATCGACCACCTCGGTGCCACGGACAGCGACCCGGTAGCGCTCGCCCACCACCTGGTAGCTGGTTTCGTCAAGCTCGGGGTGCTCTACCTCCACGCCACCGAGCCGGCCTTCTCGTCCTCCAAGATGATGACCGAGGGGAAGAGTATCTTCGCCAGCTCCAGGGACTGGAACCGGAGCCTGGGCTTCCTGCGAGAGTCCACATCCGGATCGTCCATAGCCTTCCTGTGCAGCGGAGGATTCACGAAAGAGCTGGGCAACGCTGCCATCCAGTCGGGGTACGCGGACTTGGTGGCTTACGGCCGCCTCTTCATCTCCAACCCGGATCTCCCAGCGCGATTTGCGAGGCACGGGGACGTCCAACTCAATCCTTACAACCGCGCCACCTTCTACACGCACCACCCTGTGCTCGGTTACATCGATTATCCCTGCATGGACTCCCGCGACGAAGAAGAAGAAGAAGATCGAAAGAAACACCCCAGCAAACTTTAGCCAAGAGAGATGATCCAAAAGAGTGAACGTACACTCTGAAAGTTTCTGGAAGAAGGGTCGGAATGTGTATGTATCTGGATGTGAGCCTGTCATGCTACGCCAACGAGCTCGCGCATGCCGTGCTCGAGAAAGGTGGTCTTGGCCTAGCATACAAGTCTCTCTGGATCCATCCTAACTACAAGTTTATCACGCGGGAGATGGAGCTAGATCGCTGGCAAAACTTCCATGTTGTGGCAACGCACGGTGGAGCGCATTGGTGGCTCTTCCTGCAGGCAATCTACAAGACGAAGGATGGGTCGTTTCTCCACTAGCCCCTGACTAGCACTACAACTGGAATCCTCGAAGCTCCTGGCTGATTGTATGGGCCTTCTGGTCTCTTCAGTCAGTGCGTCTCGCCCGACTGGGTTGTCTGCTACAGCTTCTCCAAAGACACGGGCGTGATCTGCCATCTTGAATCTAGCAGCTGAGCGAATGCAACCGAGCTCTAGCCCGGCTCTAGCGCTGGGTTTCACTGAGGCTGGGATCTGTGGTGGTCTCCTAGCGCTCAACAGGACGTCCTGGAGGATATCTTGGATGCGGTTGCCAAGAACACGGACTGGCTCCACCATCCCATGGGGTCACTTCAGGCCATGGCGTTACCCAGTGCACTTCTTCTAGGTTTGCCTCGAGCTTTGTGGAGGAATGCGTTTCAGGAAGAAGCAAGAAGCGCTGGAGGAATTTGTGGACAAATGCCAATCGAGTCAATGTAAATCCAGCTTGTTTGTGTGCTAGAGTTGTTAGAATGTGGTTGTGAGCTCTATCTAACAAGATGGACATAGTTTCTACAAAGATCATATAATTTAAGCTTAGATAATTAAAGGATGACAGAGATCACAACACTTCTTCAGCCATTTTTTTTCAAAACTACCATCAATTATGGCCCTTTTGGCAAAGCTTAAAATAAAAACATTACCAGAGGTGAAAATATCCAAGCCTATTCTTGTAAAATAGCCTTTAAGAATCCAACTGTTATAAATATTCCATTATGTAATAATAATATATAACATACTCGAAAACTAAGGAATCTATCTAAAAAATAATCACAATCCTTAGAATAATTCTATAGTTCAAAATACAAAATTTAATTCCAAAATTACAAACTATGTAATAAAAATATAATAATTGAATAATAATTATCCTACAATTTAAAATTATTTTAGAAAAAGTGAGGTCCTTATAAATTTCAAAGTGTTATGCTTAGTTTAGAACAATCCTTAAATTAAAATTGAAATATTCAAAATTTATCAATGAAAGAGTTAGTTTTAATTTTAATATATTTTAAAATTTTCTTTTTAAACATGTATTGTTTTATTCAGATAACAACAGTAGTTTAATGAGGAAATAATAACACTTTAAATGAAGAAGAAATTCAAGTAATTATTAATCAAGTATATAATCTTTTATCAGAAGTAGATAGATCTAGAAATAATTATCCAAATAATTATGAAAGGTCTTTATCTAATGATACTTCAAGAGGTGTTATTGTTACACAAATTAAACGTGTACCTAATAGATATTGTGTTAACATAGATAGAGAAGATTTAACAGGTAATAATTTATATCATGGTTTATATAGAATAATAAATGGTTATAGAGATGTTATAAGAAATGCACGTTCAAATTCTTGTAGAATTATGAATCCTAACTACCAACTTCAATATTCCTTCTTTTTTTATAAAAATCTCTTAGATTCACTTTTATCAAATAACAATATACTCATTGAAGAGAGCTGTTTAACAACATTAAATGCTGGATTTAAAAATAATATTCTTTTTACTGGACAATTTTTAAGATCTTCAAATGGAAAAAATATATTATTAATTGAATCAAATTGCAAAGTTTCACTTTATTCAAAAAAAAAATTAACATGGAAATCAGAGAATATAAAAACTTATTATGGTTTATACTTTCTTAAAATTCAAAATGATGGTAATATTGTATTATATACTGAAAATAGTATAGTAATTTGGTCTATTAATCAATATTGCTCAAATAGTCCTTTTTGTTATTTTTTTACTTATTTAAAATTACTAAATAATTGTAATTTAGTATCTTATATAATAAATAGTGAAAAAGTTTGGTGGGCTACACACACAACAAATCATCTTGGATGTTTCAACTAAAATTAATAAAACTTCTCATCTTTATAATATAATGTCTATTATACAACACATCATAAATTTGGCTTAAAATTCCAATATTGATTTGCTTGATATATAGTGCATAAGCTTTAAGCTTGAGTACATTGATCTTTTTGACACAAAAGACTATTTAATTTTGGCTTTAACTTTACATCATCACTATTGAGCATTATAAGATGGGCATAAAATAAAGTGCTCAAACTACTAAGGTTTACGAATTTTTGCAACAAATTTAAAATTTTTATGCATTCATATGTTAGGGTGCTAATGTGGTTCTAGAATTATTGAGCCAAATAATCCTTTAAAATGGGTGTATTTTCAAGAATTAACATTGCTTTATGCACTCTCTGTTATGCAAGTTGTTGGTGATTTATTTACTTTAGTATTTTTTATTCCCAATAAGATAGGTAAGACATAATTTTATTTCCGCATAAATTTTTTAAAACAGATAAATATAAATTATATGAAGCATAAACATTCATGGTAAGGAGGTCCCAAAAAACACTTACTAGGAAAGATGAGGAATTTAAGTTAAATATAGGAAAACATATACATATCTAGTTCTAACAAGGAGGTTTTTGCCATTGATGTGTGCATAAGAATGAAGATGAAAGCCATGGATGCTTTTCAATTAATTTATTCCTGGAAAGATGAGTCATTAAAAGTAGATATAAAAAACCTCAAATTAAATAGCATATTTTAGATTTTTGTATGCCATAATTTCCTCTAGAACTACTGCTATCATTTAAATTAGTATGAGAGAAGTGGACTAACATGCTTGCCACATATTTCTAATATATATTGGTCATATAAAGTCACTAAAAATACACTCAAGTATGTATGGACTCTATTGATGTTGTATTGCTTGAATTATAGTCTTTTTGTTTTCAACACCAGATTTTTAGACAAGTTCATATTCTTTAAGTCCATTTTGACTTAACATTTCTACTCTATTTGTCAATATTATCTCCTCATTTTTTATAATCTTTTCAATTTCAATAGGACCTTCACTTGTAAACAATGATTCCTTACTATCTCTGGATCATCCATTTTGGGCTTATAAACCATAAACATTATGTTTATCATGTACATTATGAATGGGTTTTCCTTCAATATTTTTAGTATGCTCAACATTTATAAATCCATCAGTAACTCCACTTAAGAACACCTTCTCTTCAAACCAACACATTTGTAGTAGCTCCATTTGTGAATACTTTCTCCTTTACCAACATATCAACAATAATTCCATTTGTGAGCAGTAGTTCATTTTTTGTGAACATATTATCTTCCACTAACACATCAATTGTAAACACAATCTATTTCATAAAACAGCTTCTTTAGCTATCATGTTTTTTATTTTCCTTTTGAATATCGTTTTAAGATAGACAATTATCAAATTAAAATTTCTAACAAGTTGCTAAGATCCTAAAGGCACTATTCAAAGAATATATTAATTCCATGTTTTATTTGAAAGTAGAATATATTTCTATGTACTAGTTTTTCTTCTACTTGTATCAACCGATTTTATTGATTTCACATTCTTCTTTCTACATTAACTAGTTCAAATATTTTAATAACATGTGAAATGTTAAGGACTTCCTCATGTTTGTCAATGTCCATTGGGGTTAGGTCACCAAAAAACTCGCATGTAATGCTATCCTTAGCATGTACATCTTCCTCCAAGGAGTCTAACATATATGCGAGTCTGTGTTTCATTAATATCATGTAATATAATAGGTGTATTGTTTATAACAACTTTGTGTGCATTTGGGGATTCTTTTTCATTAGTTGTCTCTTGTATGATTGAGTGATAACACATTCATGCATATTTTTTGAGGAGAAAAATACCATCAATCTTGTCCCAAAGATAGTATATATATTCCTAACCTTTCTCAAATGGTGTTTTTTATCATAATTTATGTATAGACCTGTATTTACCACAGTTATAAAACAATTTTATTTTTTTAATTCTTAGTTAATTACTTTTCCTTTTCCCACAAGAATCCCATTAACCCCTTATAGAGTTATTATATATAGTTTCTTAATAAACTATGAATATTTTCTATTTACATTGTCCACCTTAGTAACTAAAACATTATTTATAGCTATAGTTTGTACTAGACAAAAGTATTAATATAATATTAATATAATAAAATAATGAAGAAAAATTCCAGTCCAGGATGCAAATGTTCTTGGAGGAAACCTCATACTTATGTTAGCACTTTCTTATGAGAACTGAACTACTGCTCAAAAGTCCACTCCAAACAATCACAAGCACCATGAGAATCCCTAAACAGTTATCAATTGAGAAATTAAATCAAAATAATTGGGTTGCCTTAACCTATTCTTGGGTGTTCTTACTGGGATTGAAAGTTTGACTCTTAGGTGTTCTTGCTGGGAGTATTGTAAGCTCACATTTTATAGCTTCACAACTATAGTTTTAGAAGTTGCTACTTGTCATAAGTGCCAAAGCCATGGTCACCATGCATCATGATTGCACCATACCATGTCCACCACCCTACAAAATAAGAAAAAAACAAACCAAACTTTGACTGAACTAGTTCTTGTTTTCGTTCTTCACAGATATGAGGCATAAACAGTTACTAGAGATTGTTAGAATCAGACTGCTAGAACTCAAAAGAACTCACCACACCTGCTCTTGACAATTGTATATAGAACACACAAAGCTGGTAGTAGTCAACCACACACATACCACAATGGTAGCACCAACTATAGAGTAGTGCCATGGCCTAAATTGAAGAGTTGTAACCAAGCTAATTATAGCTGTGAATGCTAGCTGACTCATAACCCTAACCTATGTTATTATTACATATAACTACTTGACTTTTAGTGATTTTGCTAGTGCATCCGTGATAACTGTTAAATATTTCCTCCTCAATCAAATGTTGTTCCACTATTCTTGTCCAAAATGGATTCTTTCATATAATGGTCTTGCATTTATAGTTAAGATTTTTCACATTTTAATGTTTCGGCTGGGGATACATCACACTTTCACAAGTGCTTATTATCCATAAATAAATAGTTTAGTGGAATGTTTTGTTCAGACCTTCTTAAAGATGATTGTGAAGTATGTGAATTTTCAACATTCGAATTAAGATGATTATTTGCTGTCTCTTCAATATACATATGTCATAAGGGTACAAAATTCCATTAGTACTTCACCATAAAAAATTTTATATTGTCATGATCTAATATTGCCAATAAAGTTGGGTTTACCTTTGCAATTGCCACAAGTTGCTAATGCTAGTGTAAGCTCATGAATTTGGACTTCTTAAGAGGTCATCTAACTGTAAAGCTCCTGAGTTTGGGTTTACCTTTGCAATTGCCACAAGTTGCTAATGCTAGTGTAAGCTCATGAATTTGGACTTCTTAAGAGGTCATCTAACTGTAAAGCTTCTAAGTTTGGACTTCCCGGGAGGTCACCCAGCCCAGTACTATTCAAACCCAAGACGCTTAACCCCAAATATCCCAAGACCCTTAACCGATTGGAAAAGGGGATGCACTCTTGTTCATAGGCCCTTTCCCTTTATATTTGAACCCCATGGATCGCCTCTCGAGTCGTTCCCTTTGGTTGTTTACAATTCACCACGCTTCTCTACAAGCTCACGCCCTTGTGAACGGAAGCTGAGAGCCACAACTCTTCTAAGAGCCCCGCTCTCTTGACACTCTACCCCTCGGGTCAAGCCCAGTGGGAGCAAACTGGACCAACCAGATGTCAATCAATATATGGTGTGATTCCCCTAGCCAACTAACAGAGTCGGACTCGAAACCGCTCTGATACCAAATGTAAAGCTCCTGAGTTTGGACTTCCCGGGAGGTCACCCAGCCCAGTACTATTCAAACCCAAGGACGCTTAACCCCAAATATCCCAAGACCCTTAACCAATTGGAAAAGGGGGTGCACTCTTGTTCATGGGCCCTTTCCCTTTATATTTGAACCCCATGGATCGTCTCTCGAGTCGTTCCCTTTGGTTGCTTACACTAGCCTAATACTATTCAAACCCAAAAATGCTTATTTTCAAATATTTCAAAACCTTTAACCAATTAGAAAAAGGGGTGCACTCTTGTTCATGGGCCCTTTCCTTCTATATTTGAACTTTATGGATTATCTTTTGAGTTGTTCTCTTAGGTTGTTTATAGTTAAATTCTAAGATTTATATATAATGAACATTCTTCCATTGATTCTACCAAACTTTATTAAACACTTAAGTTGCATATAAATGGGACAATAACAATGTTACAATTCTTATTATTGTCCATTGTGAAGTATAAAGTGAATGACATTATGCTAATTCATTTTCCCAAATGTTCAATATGCTAATTTGTGCATGTGCATTGACTAAAATGCTTCATACAAAGGGATAAGAAACAATTCCTATAAATTCATCAATCCCTCATCTTAATATTCCTCTAGATTTTAGCCTATCAACCAAAGAACTTGACTACCTTCTATCATTTTGAGAGGAGGGGATGATGTGAGGTACAAATGTACAATTATAATGTTGTATATTAATATTAGTGTACTGAGATTTTAATAAAAATTGGATTGGTTTTAATCTGGAGTACTTAATTTTATATATAAACTAGAGTTTTTGGGTTAATTGATATGCATATTTCTATATTTCATTCCTATATTCCATGCACTCATAATTTATAGTTTTCTAGTGTCATAAAACTATATTTCTAAATTATCTATGTATTCATAAGCTAAAGTTATATAATAAAATAACATAATTTTGGTTTATAGTGTGTTAAGTATCCATTCTTTGATAAATAAAATCAAATTGTTAAGGAAAGCAATGCAGCGTTAGAACTCAAGTGTTGGAGTTGCATTGGAAATGCATTCATGCTAAAGAATAGAACACATAAAAGAACATTTTTCTTCCAATCTCTTGTCAAACACAACTGCCAACAAAGCCATGGAACCTTGTCCCAACAGTTATCGTGATGTGGCCTTTTTGACAGTGTCAAACCGTCCTAGCCAGCATGCCCAATTTCATTGGCCGGCAAACACCAATGCAGCATCAAGCTGCTCTCAGTGACTAAAGTCACCAAAACACCATGTTAGGAAGTAAGGAAGTTCTTTGCAAACTTAAGCCTAAACTCAGAACTTTGAATCGCTTTCCCCATGGCTACAGAAAACTAGCTTCCAAGCAACCTTTAGCTCGCCCTCCAGCTCTATCGCAATGCCACACCATCATGTTCAAGATGATCCCAATGCCCAATGCTGGCATAACATAAAGCCCACCTTCTCCCAGCATTCCAGCTACTGACACCTATGTGGAGCTGCTGGCACAGATTTTCGTCTTCCTGATTGTCGCACAAGGAAAATTGCGCTCAGTGCCAATGCTTAACTTAGTTTCTTGGTATCTATCTGGAGTAATTCTAGTGCTGGTCAATTTCAGAAGCACAAGCCATAGAAGCCTACAACTTGTTGAGCGCAAGATCCTACATCTTCTAAATGATTGCGCGCAACCCTAAATTTTCTGTGGCATGTGCCCAGGAGAGCATTGCTACACGTTATTTTTCCCCCACCGTGGATACGTGCCTGCGATCAGACGGCTACGGACCTCCGCTCCTCGCTTTATATATATACAGATGCCTCTCCAATACTTCGTTTCAAAGTCTTCTGTGTGGGCGATGGCCAATTGCGAGCTGCTGGGCGATGTGAGAGGCGTCCAGCTCTTCAGCGATCGTGAGGCCCCAGTGCCCGGATTGTCCGAGCTTCAACAAGGGCGAATTTGGATGCAAGGGCGTGATCCTGGAGCGAGGAACGGGAATATGGGCTCGAATCAAATCGGCTACCACCGGCAAGCGCGCGCTACTCGTCTACTTCCATGGCGGTGGATTCGTCGCCGCCTTCTCCCATGCTTTGGACATTTTCCACTATCTTTGCGGTGCCATCTCCCAAAAGATGGGGATGATCGTCGTCTCCGTCGCCCACAGGCTCGCGCCGGAGCATCGCCTCCCCGTGGCATTCGACGATTCTTTCGTGTCTCTTCAGTGGCTTCAATCCCAGGCCCAGCAATCGCCCGTGGATCGCGACCCCTGGCTCCAGAACGCGGATTTCTCCCGGGCATCAGCTAGCTGCCCGATTGATCCACTGCGATCTCTCGCCGCTGGAGATCAAGGACTCATCCATTCTTTGGAGCCGAGGAGAGATCCAAGTCCGAGATCCAGTCGCTCCAGCGGCCCGACGTTCTCACGCTCGCGGCCTGCGATGCTCTCTGGCGACTTTGTCTCCCCGAGGGTGCCAGCCGCGACCATGACTACTGCAGAGTCCCGAGTGCCGAGGAGATATCGATCCAATGCCGCCATCGCTGCTGCTGGTGGGATCTCGAGACGTGCTCTACAGCCGCCAAGTGGAGTACTACCAAGAGCTCCGGAAAGCTGGCAAGGATGCAAAGCTTGCCGAGTATCCAGATCGAGGCCATTCCTTGCCGTTTCCAGAGGTCGAGGGAGAAATGGATTTACTCGTACGGAGAGATCATCCAGTTCGTGAACAAATACTCCAATTGACATGCCGTTGCTCCTTTCACATATCCTACAATGAAGCAGACTTTAGCAAACTTTAGCCAAGGGATATGATCCAAGAGTGTACCTGGATAGTACTGGAACGCACAACTCCAAAGTTCTGTGAAATCGAAAGAAAAGAAAAGTAAAACAGAGACATACCTGGGAGGTTGCTCCTCCCATTCATTCCTACACATCAAACGCAAACTTATCAAGTAGTAACGAAAGAGAGAAAAAAGATAACCGTGAGAACACTACAAGAGCAGCCCGGCTGGTACCCCTTGAATTCCATCTCACGAACCATAGTCTCGCTCGATCATTGCAAGACCCAAGAAACAAAACCAGCCGACCAAAACGAGCTTTTCCCCTTCTGCCTCTCTCGAGTGTGTAGCCTGTGCCTGTGCTTGTCGACCAGACCATCCTCTTCGACTCAACCACTGAAATCCCCCACCATGAACTGTTCCTCCGGGTAGTAAGTCGCCACCACCGCCCTCCCATCAAACTTCCTGCCGTTGAGCGATATCCTCGCCCGCGTCGCGGCGCCGGTATCCTCAAAGTGCACGAAAACCTTCCCCACGCCGTCCACCTCCGCCGCCTGTGACGGCCGCGGTATCACCAAGTGGAGCACCGTCCCAAACTTGCCGCACTCGTCGCGCATGTCCTCCAGTATCTCGTCAAACTGCTCGTCCTCGATGAGCTCCGCCTCCAGCACCGCCTCCTTGAGGCACAGCACCCTCGTCGCGCCCTCGTCCGGGAACACGCCGTTCATCGTCAAGCTCTTGGCGAGGCTGAGGATGTGAGCGTGATCCTGCCCGGCCTGCTGCCCGTTTGCCGTCGCCCGCCGCACCGTCAGAGTCCTGTCCCCCATCTTGAGCCCGTTGAGCGCCGCGCAGGCCACGTCCGTCACGTTTGGATCCTGGTACACGCAGAAGCCATAGCCCTTCGAGTTCCCGGACTCGCGGTCCTTGACGAGATCAAACCCACGAAGCGGGCCAAACGACTCCAGCAGCTCCCGGATCTGCGGCTCGGTCAGGTAGTACGGCAGGCCCCCGACAAAGATCCTGTCGGGGCCGTCAACGCCGCCGCCGGCCCCGGGGGTGAGCCCGACGGCGGCGAGGTTGAGGCTCGGACTCGGCTGGCTGGGGCCGAGGTTCGCCGCCACCGACGGGTTGTAGTCACTCGGCCTCCTCACTCTCACCGACACGCCCTGGAAGCTGATCCCGTCCAGGGCCATGGCGTTGCTCGCCTCCTCCACCGTCCTCATCTCCACAAACGCGAACTTCTTCTCCTGGTTGATGTAGACGTTCACGACCACGTCCCCGGGGCCGGCGGTGTTGCCCCCGACATTCACCATCACCTGGTTGAAAAAGGTGGCGATGGTTTGCTCGTTCACGAGGCCCGGGAGGCCGCCGACGTAGACTTGGCGGGCGTGGCGAGTGGCCTGCTGGGTCATGGTTTGCGGAGGCATGGCAAAGGCCGCCAGCGGCGGCATCACCGCGGGGAAGAAGCCGGGGGGGTTGGCGAGCACCTGCGTCGTGGAGGTCGGAGGCACGTCGAATCCACTCGCCCTCTTGGCCCGGCGATCCTCGGACCCCGACCGGGACCGCGAGCGCGATCTCGAGTGGTCGTGCTCGCGGGACTTGCCGCGGGACCTCGAGTGTGATCTCGACTGGCGCTTGTGGTGCTTGCGATCGTGGTGGCCGCCCTTGCGGTGGTGGTGATCCCTGTCCCTGTCGTAGCGGCCCTCTTCCTTTTCTTTCTCGCCGCCCCTGTCGCCCCTTTCCCTGTCCCGGTGGTGCCGTCTCTCGCGATCCCGGCCGCCGAAATCCCTGTCTCGGCTGTGACGATCCCTCTCGCCCTCTCGATCATAGGCCGACCCATTCTGCGGCTGCTCTCTTGCGGGAGGATCGTCCTCGTACCCTGCCATACCCCGGAAATCGCCTCAGAACAGCATAGGATACCTAGAATCTGGAGGCAATCCTGGCGCCGAGAATCAGCAGAGAGACACAAGAGCCGGCGAGCGGCCGCTTACCTCGACACAGAGCTTCTTCCCACACACACCAAACCCTAGAGCTTGGAACCCTACCCGCCTTATTTGCTGGCGTGGCGGGCAGCCGGAGCCGTCGGATCCCCGCCTGACATGGCAGAGCTGGCATCGTTCGATTTGCCTGGAATCCATCGCTACCATCATTCATCGGTGTTCTTCGATTGGATGGAGATGCCCGGCCCGGGTATATGCTGCCATCACCGGTGGAGGAAATCCAGGGCATAGATTCGCGCCATCGAGCATTGCGATGGCGATGATCGAGACCCCGGCCAGGAGATTTCGCCACTGCGCCTGCCATGGCGCGCTCTGGAATGCGATGATCCAGAGGAAGGGATTGAAATGCGATACAATCCTTGCGGGCGCTCGCTTGCTCGAGGCCGCGGCCATCGAATCGATTCGACTATAGGTAGAACCCTATCTTACTGTACTAAACACACAAAGGGGGGAAGAGCTAGGGTTCTTGAGCGTCATGGCGCCTAGGGCCGCTACCTCAGATCCATCCAAGCCGGACGGCGATTCCGCGCGCAACGAGGTAAAATCTCCGTCCAGCAGCACCCGCAGGAGCCAGCGGGATCCAGACGAGCGCCGCCGCAGCGACGATCACAGGCACAGCGGGAGCTCCCGGCGGCGAGCCCGCTCGCGCTCCCGGGACGACAGGAGAATGCGCTCCAGGTCCAGGGAGAGGAATCGCTATAGGAACCACGACAGTAGACGCCACAGTAGGAGCTCTTACCAGCCTCGTCCCCGGCGATATAGATCCCCGAGCAGCAGTAGTAGCGGCAGTAGAGAAAGAAGGCGAAGAAGAAGAACAAGGGACAGTAGCAGCAGTGGGAAATCATCGCCATCGCCATCGCCACCGCGATCTAGATCGCGCTCTCGATCGGAGAGCCAGAACCAAAACCATCAACAGCAGCAAGCACAGCCTCAGCAGCTTCAGCAATCGCAGCAAGCATCGCAGCTCCAGCCATCGCAGCAGCAATCCTCGCAGGTCCAGGTCCAGGTCCAGCCATCGCAACCAGTAGTTCTTCCAGCCGGGATCGCCCAGCTCCCGGTGGTGCTGCGAATGCCACAGATGCCGCAGATCACCAAGCCGGCTCGCCGGGTCTACGTTGGCGGCCTCCCGGCCGTGGTGGACGAGGCCCGGATCGCCACCTTCTTTAACCACGCCATGGCAGTGATCGAAGGCAACACTTACGGCCAGGGTGGCGACGCCGTGGTGAGCGTCTTCATCGACCACGCCAAGAACTACGCGTTTGTGGAGATGCGCTCGGTGGAGGAGGCCAGCAACGCCATGGCTCTGGACGGGATCATCTTCGAGGGCTCGCAAGTCCGGATCCGGAGGCCCAGTAACTACAACCCCGAGCACGCCATGCTGTTTGGATCGTCCCAGCCGAGCCCGTCTCTGCGGCTCGACAAAGTTGGATTGGTCTACCGCGCTCACGCCGATGGACCGGACAGGATCTTCATCGGGGGGCTCCCTTACGAGTGGGGCGACGCGGAGGTCCGGCAGCTGCTAGAACCATTCGGAGCTCTCCGCGCGCTCGACATCGTCAAGGACTCGTACACTCGAAAGTCCAAAGGCTATGGCTTCGCGGTTTACGAGAACCCGGCCTCCACCGACGCGGCTTGCGCAGCGCTCAACCAGAAGCCACTCGAGGGGAAGATCCTGCGCGTCCACCGCGCGACGAACTCGTCCGGGAACCCGGCGCTCGTTCTTCTCCCGCAGAGCTCGGAGCTGGGGACTCGGGTGGTGTGCCTTTGCAACGCCGTGTCCGAGGAGATGCTGCGAGACGAGAAGGAGTACGCGGAGATCATCGAGGATATGAAGGAGGAGTGTGGGAAGTATGGGCCGCTGGTGAGCGTGGAGATTCCTCGCGGCGATGGAGCTCCGGGGCTCGGGAAGGTGTTCCTCGAGTACAAGGATTTGGTCTCGGCGCTCAAGGCGCGGCATGGATTGCAAGGCCGGAGCTTTGACAAGAGGACCGTCCAGGCAACGTACTACCCGGAAGATAAGTTCTCGGCTAAAGATTATGGTGGCTAACGCGCGGAATTTTTTCCAGCTATCTTCACATCGTCTTCTATTTGTAAACGCAGTCGTCCATCCAGTGTTCTTCGTTTGTTCTACGTTGTTGTTCTTATTCTCTCTCTAACAGTGTGAAGTTTTTTTTTCTTGTTTTGTTTTGGTCTTTTTTTTTGTATCTCTATGCAGGATTTGGACGGCCGAGATTGGTCGATCCTAGTCGTTGGTTTACACGCAAGAACTTTCTTTGTTTTTTCTTCTCTCTTCAACAGGGGATTGGTTTCTAGGGTTTTTGGAGAGCGCAATGGCGCCAGCGGATGGCAATGCGTTCTCGGTGGAGGCATTCGCTCCCCGGCGGCGCGTGGATCATCGCCTGTCGCTTAGGATCTACTTCCGCACAGCCGATAACATCCTCAAACAGGTATTGGGAGGATGGATTGGGAGAATTCTCGCTCAGTGATTTGGGGTTTGTTCTTGGCAGGCTAGTGTCTATAGGCGTGAGGCTAATACACTGGAGCTCTATGTGTTGCTGTTGCGGTACGCCAGCTTGGTGTCGGAAACCATTCCGGATCATCGACAGTACCTGGGAAGCAACCCTCTGGATAAGTTGCATTTGAAACGAGTAAGTGAGTTCTTCTATTCCTCCGAGCTCATGAATCTGATCAGTGGTGGCTCAGAAACTTGTGGAGGCTTTGCAAGAGCTGGAAACGCTAAAACCTGATGTACAGTCGCTGGTTCGTGCGAGAAATCAGCTGGCAACTAGGCAAGCGATTCTTCGTCAGGTATGCCTTGCTTTTGTTCTGTATGCTTGTTCGAGCTCTTTTGGTTTCCAGGAGAAACAACAACCTGTTCTAAGTTCTCAAGATAATAACGGAAATGTATATAAGGCTTCCTTGTTCGAAAACAAGTTGTTAGTAATGTCTGCTGCTGATCTTTATGCGGTACTTAGCGTTTTCCTTTGTTTAAATGCAGGTCGTGGAGGCTTCCCACTCCCAGTGCTGAGACCATAGCCAGACATTCTTTTCTCGTCTCGAAGCCTCACATTTCGAAGCCCTTGGAGCCTTTTAAGGTTTGCGAAATTGTACTTACTTCGGCATTGACAACATGAAATTTAGATCCAATATCCATGCCTTTTCGACCCCGCTCCTCCGGAAACCAACAGGTATTGGTCATTTACCGAGAGAGAAAAAGAAGAGAAGATGCTGAAGTATTGTTTTTCAACAGTGTAACGCCGCCCACTCAACCTCAGGCTCCAGAAGCTGTTTTGGACCAAAAGGATGAAGATGTCGTGACTCTACTTCAACCAGTGGAGCCACCTTCGCAATTTGATCTAGTCAATCAGCTCTCCCCTCCCCCTGTCTCCGTTCCAGTTGAAATGCCGCAAGAGAGCTGCTCGCCTGTTAGTACCGAGCCCGATTTGTCGTTGGAAATCGATGCATTACCGTCAAAGGAACCCAAGCACTTGCATATGGTAACGATTACAAGTTCATTTTTCCTTTGACGCTTACGAGTGTCGTTGCAGTCATCTTCACTGATGGACGAGTTTATGAGGATGGCGAAGTCCAACACGTCAAAAAACATTGAGACTTGTGGGGTTTTAGCCGGCTCCCTGGTACGAACTACTTGCGCTTGCATCGCATTTTTCATAGTAGTGTTTTGCTATTGTAGGAAGGCGGGAATTTCTTTGTGACTGCACTGATCATTCCGAAGCAACAAGCGACTGCCAATACCGTAAGCGATCAATATCACGTAACGAAACTTATTTCGCTATACTTGCAGTGCGAGACGATAGACGAGGAAGAGATTTTCTTCGCTCAAGACAAGCGTGGCCTATTTCAACTGGGATGGATTCACGTAAGCACTAGACGTTCCATTTTCTGTGAAGCTCAAACTCACTTTTTCCGCAGACACATCCCACGCAATCCTGTTTCATGTCATCCGTCGACGTTCATACACACTACTCTTACCAGGTACACTGTGTTCTTTATTTCGTTGCGAAAAGAAACAAGCTTTTCCATCACAGGTGATGTTGCCAGAAGCGATAGCGATCGTGATGGCACCGCAAGACGCATCCAAGTGAGTAGATTTCTCCATGGTTTGGCTCAACTCTAGCTGAGAGAATTCTTTTGTTCTTCCAGAAACTTTGGAATTTTTCGGCTCTCCGACCCTGGTGGAATGAACGTAATCCAGCAATGCTCCAAGCGTGGCTTCCATGGGCACGATCCAACAAGCGATGGAACGCCACTGTACCATAGAACCAGCCATGTATATCTAGACCCCAAAGTGAAATTCGATGTTGTTGATCTGAGATAAAACCTTTTTCCCGCCAAATTTCAAATTTGCCCTAAGGGATATGCTCCGAGGAGCAGCGAGGGACGCGCGCCTCAGGGTTTTGGGGCCGGGGTGAGCTCGCTGAGAGGCTAGATCAGGGCGCCAGTGCCGCGATGGAGAAGATTGTAGTCTCCATTCGTGTCCGGCCGCTCAGCAAGCAGGAATCCGCCAAAGGAAGCCCTTGGAAGATCTCATCCAACGCCATTTCTTTGTGCAATGCTGCCACTGGGACGGTGCTGCCCGGCCACACTTACATCTTCGGTACGCTCATAGCCAATTCTTTCTCTTTGAGCTGTTGCGAGTAATGCTCTGGATGATAGACAGCGTTTTTGGGACGGAAGAGAAAACAGTGGAGCTGTACGATGCTCATACCAAAGCGATTATCAGCTCTGCCGTGAAGGGCATCAATGGTGAGTTGAGGTTCTTGCTTCTTTTGGTTGGAAGTTGGAGAATTGTTTCCAGGAACTGTTTTCGCCTATGGGCAGACGAGCAGCGGGAAAACTTACACCATGAGAGGTTCTCCTGGCGAGCCTGGTATAGTTCCTTTGTCAGTTCTAGATGTTTTTGCCAACATTCAAAAGGTAGAGTAGCTCCAGATGCTTCCTAGATGACTGTGCTTTCTTTCCAATGTGCAGGCGGAAGATAGAGAGTTTTTGTTGCGGGTATCATACATGGAAATCTACAATGAAGAAATTAATGATCTGTTGGCTCCGGAGAACAGGAAACTCCAAGTTCATGAAAACATTGAGGTAAGAATTTTCCAGTCGAAACTACTGTTTAACAAGCTCCATGCTGTAGCGTGGAATATTTGTTGCTGGGTTGAGGGAGGAGATAGTTTCTTGTCCGGAACAAGTGTTACAGTTGCTGGACTTTGGAGAAGGTATATATTTTTCTACTCCATTCCTTGGCTTACTGTGTTTTCGCTTTGGCAGCGCATCGGCACGTTGGCGAGACAAATATGAATGTGTACAGTAGCAGGTCTCATACGATATTCAGAATGGTACACATTGTGCTTCTTGACTATTTGAGTTTTGTATGTCATTTCTTCTTCAAGGTGATTGAAAGTAGAGACAGAAGTCAGGACGATGCCTTGCAAACTTGTGACGCTGTCCGTGTTTCTGTTTTGGTGAGTTTTCTGATTACAGTGTTTCTTTTCTTGCTGACCGCGCAGCTCTTTTGGCCAGAATCTTGTAGATTTGGCTGGCTCGGAACGCGTTGCTAAAACCGGAGCTGAAGGAGCTCGCCTAAAAGAAGGTTCTCATATCAACAAAAGCTTGATGACTCTCGGAACTGTAATCAACAAACTAAGTGAAGGAATTGAAAGTCAGGGGTATGAGCCTTTTGATATATAGCCTTGGGGGCGACTAACTCGTTTACTAAGGGGTCACGTCCCTTACCGGGATAGCAAATTAACGCGGATCCTTCAGCCTGCTTTAGGTGGAAATGCTCGAACTGTTATTATCTGTAACGTTACACCGGCAATGGTATAGGTTGTTCTCTTTTTTTCCTTCTTACCGAATGCTCTTTTTATTTGTAGGTGCACGTTGACGAGACCAAGGGTACACTGCAATTTGCCAGTCGAGCTATAAGAGTAACTAATTGTGCTCAAGTGAACGAGGTAAAAATGCATTGGTATTTGGAACTCTGAGAGGCAATACTTCTGTTCTTCTCAGATTGTTACAGATGCCGCACTGCTGAAACGACAGAAAAGAGAAATTGAGGAATTAAGAAAGAAGCTACAGGTTTTTAGCGGAAGCACTTGTACTATGACGTCTGATTATTATCTTGTGCAGGACAACCACTCTGAACACTTAGAAGAAGAAGTACTTAGTTTGCGCAATGATATGCTGAAGGTATTGTAGACCAGCTACCTTTGCTTCTGGTTAATCAGGCACTCTCCAGATTGAGCTGGAGAGAGAAAGGATGGCACTTGAGCTACAAAATAAGGCTGAACGTGAACGCCGCATGAAAGAACAGATAGAGAACTTAAGCACCATGGTACTCAATTCGGCAGTTGATGATCGGCACACCGACAAAAGCATGAAGAAGGTTTGTAAATTTGAAAATGTTGGCTTCTCTCAACAGTTGCAAGTTGTGTAGACAAACCGTCGAGAAACCTGGTGTCCGCGGTTGACATCATCAAAATCGGCAGTAGAGGTATGATTCGGCATGTTGTTTGCTAATATTGATAGCTAATCTGTCGTCGTAAACAGGTTCAAAGTCTTAAAGCAAATGTTGTTTCGAACCGCGAACGGCAACTCCCACCGCCATTCGAGGTCTTGAAAGAAGAAGAAGACGTTCCTATGAACGATTCGAAGGAGGTCACTGGCGGGGACAAGGAAACGTTTGTCCCACCACGTGCATCGAATTTTGTTGGCGATCGACGACACAAACTATCTGCTCGCTTGCATGCCAACGAGGTCTGAACTAGTTTTTTCGACAGACAATGATCTAACAATTGTGGCAGGAGGAACTACTGGATTTACAAGCTCGATATCAGGCTTTACACTGTGATTACGAAGTTGCGAATTCCGAAGTATGTGATCCACCATTTGAGAGCTGTTGTCTTATAGTGACGTTCCAGATTGATAAGCTGCGACACGAGAATGAACAGTTGAAGGCCACAGCCTGCAAATCTGAGGCGAAGCACACTGATGGAGATCGGAGGTGTAAAAGCCTAGATGGAAATCAGCTTGATATCCATGCTGAAGTTATCGCAGCTTTACAAAGCCAGGTTTACCTTTTTCATGTGCCTTGTGGTTTGTTTTTTAGTTCTGTTTTTTCTTTGCAGGTGGAAACTCTAGAAATGGAGAAGTTTTATATGCAACGGGAGCTTGATAGCAGAATTGAGCACCAGAAAATTCAGGCAAATAGCGCCAAACAGCTTCTTGAGGGGGTACTGTTTTTTCTTTTCCTTCTAGCTAATACTTATTGATTATTCCAGCTGCATGAAGAACTAAAAGAATCCAATCAACAAATTGAACATATCACCACCCGCAACATGCAGTTAGAGGTACCAATACAAAAAACATTTCTTAATTTTTTGCTGATACCTTGTCGCAGCGAGAAAAAGATGAGGCGGGAAGATCATATGTACAATTGGCTACAGCATTTGAGGATTTGAAGGCTGAAATAGAAGGCTCAATGTCTCATGCAACTGGCTGGATTCAAGAGCTTATGGCTGGGGTCAAAGAGCCTGTGATGTGCTTTGAGGAACTTCGTCTCTTTAACAGCCATACTTTTGCAGAGCTTAAACATAACTTGACTATCCAGAAGGTATCTCCTGTTAATTTTTTTATCCACCTATTATTGATGATTTTGTGTCAGGATGCATTACAACAGCAAATAACTCTGGCAGAGGCTCGAATAATTGAGCTCGAAGCTGCAGCGCTGGATGCAACGAAAAAACCCGAGGTCAGCTTGTTCTCTTGCATACTGGCACGAATCTGATATTTACTGCAGGTTGACCATGAGGATGAATGCTCTAAACTGAAACTCGAAATTCTAGCTCTGCAGAAGGATCTTTCGGGTGTAAAGGCTCTTCCATCTGAGAAAGAGAAAGACAGTTTGCGAAAGGAGCTTGAAAAGTCCAAGACGAAACTGAAAGAAACCGAGGCTAAGCTGAGAACAACTTTACAGGATAAAAGCAAACTAGAGGTAAGTGTTTGAAATATCTTTTTCTCTGTAAGCATCGCTTATCTGCTTTGTAGGCTGAAAAAGCAAACTTTGATAGAGAATTAAAAACTCTTCGAAGTCAGAGTACGTTGCTTCAACGGGATATAGACAGAAAGGAATCTCTTGCGGATAAAAGACGTGACTCTATGGCATGCTTCAACAAAGCAAAGCATCAGTTAAGTTGTGTCGAGGATGCACTACATCAAAAAGCTGTAGATTTGGAAAAGACGAGTTTTGAGTTGCAAGTGTTGCAGGTAAGAGGCTTCATTCCATGCAGAACTTCTAAATTAATAATTGCCCTGGCAGGGTGCTTATCATGAGGTGGAAACTTCGCTGCTGGAAGCTAGAAGCACTATAGTGCAGTTAGAAAAGCAAGTCGAAGCTGCGGCGGAAGAAATCACACTTTTGAAAGAGGAGCGTGAAAAAGCAGTCAGTTCAGCAAATAACACTGCTATCGAACTTAGAGCTGCAACAGAACAATGCGGAGCAAGTAGATTACAGGTGGATGAGCTTCAACAAGCCTATGAGGACTTGGTATGTTTGGTATACCTTTAGATTCACTTGACGTAAACCTTTACACTGTTGCAGAATCGTCAACTTCAAGAACGTAATGCTTCCTTGCAGATGCAAGAAGAGGCTAAACAGGATTTGGTAGTGGTAAGGTTGCAATCATTTTGATTGAATATGAAGTGTTCAGTTTTGCAGGAACTTACAGACGTTTATTATAAACTAGAAGAAGAAAAGGCTGTATCTGCTGCAAGAAGACATGCGATTGAGGAGAAAGAAGGCGAATGTTCTGCTTTGAGCAATAAGATACAAGCTTTGTCTTCTGAGGTTAGTCAATTTTCTGCTGGGTGTGCTGATGTTTTACTTTTATTAGATTGACAAGAGCATACGGATGGAGGCAGTAGAGAACAGCCTGCATTTGGAGCTCAAAAAGCTGGAAGAAACACTTGAAGAAAAAGAAAATCGACTTCAGATTGCTTTGAACCAAACGGTACTCATATTTGTATGCGTCTTTCATCAGTTATATGTTTGATGCAGGTGGACAAGCTTAGAGCTGAACTTGATCCGATCTTACAGAAGGTTACGGAAGTGGAAAAAGATATCGAGAAAGAGATTCGAAGCGGGTAAGCAGCACTTTTTACTGTCTTTAACTACAACAAACTTTCTTTTTAGACTTGAAGACGGTCATATGGTGCAAGAGTTTGAACTGAAAGCTGAATCTTATCAACAACAAATTGTGGTAAGCGTTCTTGTTTACATTTTTCATGTTTACATTTATATTTTGTTGTTAGGAGTTGGAAACTGTGAAGCAAAAAACTGAAGAAACGGTGAAGGGACTAAAAGAATTATTGAAATCGTCAAACGACACTTGTGCGTTGCACGCTGAAAAGGTAACTGCCCCATCCAGAAGTTCTGGTTATTGTTTTTGTTTTACAGATAGTGAAGCTGACGGACGAGCTCAATAGTAAACATCACAAGCTCGAAAAGGTGATCGATGAGCTCAGTATTGAGCACCAGAGAGTCGAGAACCTCTCGAAGGAGCTTGATTGTGAACATCAGAAGTTTGAGAGCCTGAAGGAGGAGCTCAGTTGTGAGCACCAAAAAGTCGAGCAGCTGTCGAAGGAGCTAGATTGTGAACACCAGAAGTTCGCGGAGGAGCTGAGTCGTGAGCACAAGAAAGTCGAGAACCTGACGAAGGAACTCAATTTTGAACATCAGAAGATCGGGAAGCTAACGGACGACCTCACTTATGAGCACCGGAAGATCGAGAAGCTGACGGAGGAGCTCACTTGTGAACGCCAGAAGCTGACGGAGACGCTCACCTGCAAACACCACCAGATCGAGAAGCTGACGGAGGAACTCAATTGTAAACACCAGAAGCTTGAGAAGCTGCAAGAAGAATATCAACACCTTCAGGCATCAGAAGCGGATGAACGTTTGCAAGGCGAGAGGTAAATTACTTCTGATCTTAGCTTTGTTTGTGACGTGTTTTTTTTTTTTTTTTTCGAACCAGAACTTTGCAACATAATCTTCGGCTAGAGAAGCTCGAGGCAACCGTCGAGAGCGGTGAAAGGGTATGCCTTTCTAATTTGGCTTATTAACAGACATGGTTTAACTGCAGGAAATGCGAACTCTTCTTACTTCGAAAACCAAACTTCAAGTGGCTTTCGACGCAATGTCCGCCAGGGCGGATGTCTTCGAGGTGCGGTTGGAAGATGCACGCTGGGACTTGATCGACTTTAGAGACAAAGCCAGACGGGCCCAAGACAAACTGGAGAGCAACCTTACAGCCGCAAAACTCGAAGTCGTGGAGCTCAAAGTGGAGCTTGAGAGTGTCACCAATCAACTCGCAGAACTCCAGGTACATTTTTCTCGTTGTCTCGTTCTAACTACATGACACACTTCCTGTCTCCAGCCTCCTATACCAGAAACAGTTAAAGATGCCTCCTGCTCGAAACGTAAGCCTTCCGAGCTCCACTCGGGCATCACCAAGCTGACGAAAACCAAAGAATCAGATCAAGAGGTACGTAGCGAGTTGCGTGTTTTCGTTTTCTCATCAAGGATTGTCCACAGAAGCTCTCGAGGGACGAGGGTACGCCTCGTCCAAAAACCTCCAGAGATCATCATCAAGATCATCAACAAAGGCGCCCTCTATCGCCACTGGACAACTTACACTCGAAACATCGCCGCTAGAGGAGAAGCTCCACAACTCGCAAGTTTCTAGATCATACTGGACAACTTTCCTTGTAACTTCTCTAGGAATGCCGGGCGTTATTTCTCACAAAGAGGTGCCAAGTTCTAGTCCCTGCCCGAAACTAAACAATTTTTATATTAACTTGTGACGTGGTCATACCCAATGATGGTTTGCCAGGTGCACGTATAGGGGCCTTTAGATCTTGAAAACGGACGGTTGGATTTGCCTCGTGGTGTTTGAGCCACTGTGGTTTAGGGTTAGGTGGAAGCTCGATGGCGAGGATGCTGGCCGTCTTGTTTGTGGCTCTGTGCGTGATCGCTGGAGCTGCGCGGGGCGAGGAATCGGATGTGCTCGTCCTCACGCCCGACAATTTCGATCACGAGGTCGGGCATGAGAGGGCGGCGCTTGTCGAGTTTTATGCTCCCTGGTAAGCGTTGGATCTAGGCGGATCTCGTTTGAATCGATCGCATTTTTCCAGGTGTGGGCATTGTAAGAAGCTAGCGCCCGAGTATGAGAAGGTCGGATCGGCGTTTAGGAAAGTCAAGCACTTATCGATCGCAAAGGCGAGTTTTTTTCTCACATATGTGATTATCGATTAATTGGAACTTTGTGGTTGAATGAAAACCAGATAGATTGCGATGCGCACAAGAGCTTGTGCTCCAAGTTTGACGTAAGCGGGTATCCCACTCTCAAGTGGTTTCCGAAAGGATCTCTCACACCCAAAGAGTAATTTTAGTTTTTTTTCTTCTCGTTATGAATAAATGGGCCAACTTTTTGCTTGTTCGTGTAGTTACTCTGGTGGACGAACTGCCGAGGATCTTGTTGCATTCGTCAACACAGAAGGAGGTATGCTTTTGCGTTTTTGAGAATTCCTTCCTTGAGTTTATTCGAATCACTTGTAGGTGCGAATGCGAAATTGAGTGTGGCGGCATCGGAGGTTGTCGTCTTGACCCCGGCCAATTTCGATGAGATTGTGCTCGACCCCACGAAGGATGTTTTGGTGGAATTTTACGCTCCTTGGTAAGTTGTTTGGTATTCCTCGCAACGAAGCTAAAACGAAAAAAACTTGTCTCTTTTCAGGTGTGGACACTGCAAATCCTTGGCTCCGGTATGACTCAATTGGCTTTTATGCGTCTTATAAATGTTGCATTGACGTGTTTCTTCTCTAGGCTTATGAGTCTGTCGCAACCGCATATAAGGCCGAGAAGAATGTGATCGTGGCAAAGCTTGACGCGGATGCTCACAAGGATCTAGCAACCAAGTAAGTGTTTGATGCTTCATTGTGAACTCACTTTCACATTGGTTCTTGCAGATATGACGTAAGTGGCTACCCAACGCTGAAGTTCTTTCCCAAAGCCAACAAGGCTGGGGAGGATTGTGATGCGCGCTCGGTTGACGAGTTCGTGGAGTTTTTGAATGAGAAGTGTGGCACTTACCGTGATTCCAAAGGTGCTCTCACTGACAAGGTAAGTTCTTGTCCAGCTGAATGCAAAGATTTTCTAACGTGTACGCTTCTCCTGTAGGCCGGAACTGTCTCTAGTCTAGAAGACATTGTCCAGGAGTTCGTAGCTGCCAAAGCTGACGAGCGGGAATCTCTCTCCACAAAGTTGCATGAAGCCATCGCCAAGCTAGAGGGCTCGGACGCTGGGTAAAATCCTTGGATCAAAATTACGAGCTAGAGGTTCTCACGCTGTTTCGTTTCGTGAAGATATGGCGCAATCTACACGAAAGTCCTCAAGAGCATCGCTTCCAAGGGCGAGGAGTATCTAGCCAAGGAACACGAGCGCTTAAGCAGGCTATTGTCAGGGGTAAGCTTCTTTTTCCTTTGCTGTTCTTCACAAAAAGCCTTGTAACGCTCACACAATTTGTTTCCAGGCCGTGAATCCCTCCAAGGCCGACGAGTTGACAGTGAAGAAGAACATCATCTCGCTCTTCATGAAACAATAAGCTTTCACATCATATGTAACTCTTTTTTGTTTCTGCTGGCTAAACACACTATTCTTACAAAATCACACAGGATCACATCGTTTTCTATAGTTATGTTGGAAGGCTATAGCAGAAAAATCAAGGAAATATTTTTTATATGGATTATTTCACGCCATACATGGACTGGTAGATGAGTGGTGGCTGTGAGTGGAGGATCACATACATTGTAGGTGGAAAAGAGGAGGACGCACATTTTGATAGTGTGAAGTCTTTCTAAATTCTCTTATCCCACAATTTTTCTATGGTTTCCAAGTTTCCGGGAGTATGAGTGGCCTGGGCGAGGGGACGGACTCTGTTCCACCGGACGGAGCTCCTCTGTCAGCTGGACGGCTTTGCCACGTGGATGATTCTTGGGCTGCCACGTGGCCGTATCTCCGTTAGGGTGACGGAGATCTTCGGCTAAGTTGGCTGGTGCTCTCCCTCATGAGCTCTACGATAGGCGGTCACTGTGTTCTCGGCGTCTAGGGTTTGTGGGAGCGGCACGGTCGACGCGATGGAGAAGGCGGGCCGGGTGATCCGGCGCTTGAAGCAGGAGCGATCGCTGTATCGGCGACTCCATTCTTCGTCGTCGATCCGGCCGGCGTCGCTCTTGCCCTCGGCATCGCTCTTGCAGGGATCGTCCACCGGATTCCAATGCGCCAGCGGCGGCAGCTCGAAATCTTTCCTTGCCCGGCCGCTGCTGCCATGGTCCGCAAGATCCATCTCCGTGGAGGCGCTGCGTCCGAGCGATACCTTTCCCCGGCGCCACAACGGATCCAGCGCGGAGGAGCAAAAGGTAATGGCCGAGGCCGTGGGATTCTCGAGCATGGATGAGCTTGTAGAGGCCACGGTTCCAAAGCCGATCAAGCGGGGGCCGATGTCGCTGCCAGGCAAGTTCCATGAGGGATTGACAGAGAGCCAGATGATCGACCACATGAAATATCTGGCTGCCAAGAACAAGATCGCCAAGTCCTACATTGGAATGGGCTACTACAACACCATCGTCCCGCCCGTGATCCTTCGCAACATCATGGAAAATCCGGGATGGTACACGCAGTACACACCTTACCAGGCCGAGATCGCCCAGGGAAGATTGGAGTCGCTTCTCAATTACCAGACCATGGTCGCCGAGCTCACGGGCTTGCCGATGTCCAACGCTTCGCTGCTCGACGAAGGAACCGCTGCTGCCGAGGCCATGGGAATGTGTCTCAACATCGGGAGTAGGAAGAGGCCCAAGTTCTTGATCGCTAGCAACTGCCACCCCCAGACGATCGATGTTTGCGTCACTCGTGCGGATGGTCTCGGGATGACTGCTTCGATCGTGGATCCCGACAAGTTTGAGTTCTCCAAGGACGTTTGCGGTGTTCTCGTCCAGTATCCTGCGACCGATGGTAGTATCACGGACTACGCCAGCTTGGTTTCGAGCGCTCATGCGAATGGAGTAAAGGTGGTGGTGGCGACTGACTTGCTAGCACTTACGTGCTTGAAGCCTCCAGGGGAGATTGGAGCCGATATGGCTGTTGGGTCGGCACAGAGATTTGGAGTGCCTCTGGGATACGGTGGACCGCATGCTGCGTTCCTGGCCACCTCGCAGGAATACAAGCGGATGATGCCGGGACGTATCATTGGAGTCAGTGTTGATGCCAATGGAAAGCCGGCACTCCGTATGGCTTTGCAAACTCGTGAGCAGCACATAAGACGTGACAAGGCCACCAGCAACATTTGCACGGCCCAGGTATGGTTTTGGTTTTTGTTCATATGTGTTGCTTCATCATCTCATGATTTCTCTTGTGTTGTTATAGGCTCTTTTGGCAAATATGTCCGCTATGTATGCTGTGTACCATGGACCAGAGGGTTTGAAGGCTATAGCAGATCGGGTACATGGACTGGCAACGGTGTTTTCTGAAGGAGTGAAAAAACTTGGTTATCAAGTCGGTAGCGACCCTTTCTTTGATACTGTCAAAGTTTCCGCTTCGAATGCATCCTCTTTGGCGGAGACGGCTGCGAAAGAAGGAATCAATTTGCGTGTCTTAGACGCGAATACGGTAACTATCGTTTTGATTCTCATGCTGCTATAATTCGTTTCCTCTTAATTTTTTTCGTCCAGGTTACCGTGGCCTTTGATGAGACAATCACTCTTGAAGATGTAGATAACTTGTTCAAAGTATTTGCTAAAGGGAAACAGGTATGTTCTCTGTTTTATGTTTGGTTGTATTTAATAAAAAACTTACAGGTAAATTTTACTGCCGAATCGCTTGCACCATATGCGGGATCGTCATTGCCGAAGGAAATGGTCCGTGAGAGTGCTTATCTGACACATCCCATTTTCAACTCGTAAGTATTATTGTTTTAGTTGCATCCGATATTTATGTTTATTTTTACAGATATCACTCCGAGCACGAGCTTCTTCGTTACCTGCATAGAATTCAAGCCAAGGATTTGTCCCTAGTCCACAGCATGATCCCGTTGGGGTCCTGCACCATGAAGCTGAATGCCACAGTTGAGATGATGCCGGTTACGTTTCCTGAGTTTGCCAACATTCATCCTTTTGCTCCTCTCGATCAAACTGGTGGTTATCAGGTTAGTCGAGTGCTCATTTTCTTTCTATTCGACGTTGTAACGCTTCTGCTTTCTCACAGGAAATGTTCAAAAATCTTGGAGACTTTCTATGTGAAATCACAGGCTTTGATTCCGTCTCTTTGCAGCCGAATGCTGGTGCCGCGGGTGAATATACAGGTTTGATGGTGATTCGTGCTTATCAGAAGGTAATCAGTTCTCATTGGTAGCAATAAGTTTTTATAACTGCATTTTACAGGCGAAAGGGGAAGGCCATCGGAACGTTTGTATCATCCCAGTGTCAGCTCATGGGACAAACCCTGCCAGTGCAGCCATGTGCGGCATGAAGATCGTCTCGATCGGTACAGATGCTAATGGAAACGTTGATATAGCAGAACTGAAACAGGCAGCCGAAGCGAACAAGGATAAACTTTCTGCGTTAATGGTATGTCTGGTTCCATTTCCTGGATATAGTTAACGTTGCAATTCACAGGTTACATATCCTTCTACTCATGGCGTGTATGAAGACGGCATCGATGACATATGCGACATAATTCATAAAAATGGAGGTCAGGTGTACATGGATGGTGCTAATATGAACGCACAGGTATGACTTGCTTTTTTTTTTTAACAAATAACTAATTTATCATTCACAGGTTGGCCTTACAAGTCCTGGATTCATCGGAGCAGATGTCTGTCACTTGAATCTCCACAAGACATTCTGTATACCTCATGGAGGTGGTGGCCCAGGAATGGGTCCAATTGGAGTGAAAAAACACTTGACGCCGTTTTTACCGTCTCATCCGGTGGTATGTTTTTTCTTTCTGTTTTCTTGGTTGTTTTTTTCTTTCAGTAACATTGAGTTCCTAACAGGTATCGACTGGCGGTATACCACCAAGTTCAGAAAAAGCACAACCCCTGGGTACAATTTCAGCGGCACCTTGGGGTTCTGCGTTGATTCTTCCGATTTCCTATACATACATTGCAATGATGGGCTCAGAGGGCCTTACCAGCGCGTCAAAGCTGGCGATACTCAACGCCAATTATATGGCCAAGCGTCTCGAGGTACTAGGTCTTTCACCAAGTGGCATTTGCTGAAAGCTATTTTTTCTTTCCTGTAGGATCATTATCGTATATTGTTCCGAGGCAAAAACGGAACCTGTGCTCACGAGTTCATAGTTGATTTGAGAGCATTCAAGGTGACGTTCCATTGCTAATTGAAGTCGGGGTTAACTGTTGGTGATTACCTGTACAGGCGACAGCAAATATAGAGCCTGAAGACGTTGCAAAACGTCTAATCGACTACGGCTTTCATGCGCCAACTATGTCTTGGCCAGTTCATGGGACATTGATGATCGAACCAACAGAAAGCGAGAGCAAGGTACAGCAATATGTCATCCTGGTTTTGTTTATGCATGTATTCATCATGTTTGTCTCACAGGCGGAGCTGGACCGCTTCTGTGACGCAATGATCTCGATCCGAGAGGAGATACGAGCCATAGAAAATGGCACATGTAACGCTGCGGACAACGTCCTAAAGGTGAACTTCACTTCACGACTGTGTCAAAGCATTTCTTATTTTATTGCTTTTGATTTCAGGGAGCGCCTCATTCTGCCTCTATGGTCCTGTCGGACAAGTGGAACAAGCCCTACTCCCGCAAGCTGGCTGCTTACCCGGCCACATGGGTTGAAAGCTCGAAGTTTTGGCCGTCAACTGGTAAGACTCAGTAAAGCTTTCACTTTTTTGTACTGAAGGTGGTAAATTCCACAGGTCGTGTTGACAATGTATATGGTGATCGCAACCTTGTGTGCACCCTTATTAACGGGGATGCTGCACCCGCTGAAGAGCGGGTGGCTACTGCTTAAGATCGAAATGTGCAAAGAAATCAAATTTCTACGCCTCTTGTACAGCCAGGTACTGAATATGTATACTTTTGCGCACGAAACAAATTGTTGAACAGAGCTAGCGACTCGGACGTGTTGCGATACGTAGAATAAGATTCCGAGAGAGAGAAAGTCAAATAATGTTTTTGGCTAGAAGAAGTCAATACGTTCTAGCTACACAACCAGCGACAGCATAAAAGCCCGTGGGACAGTGAAGAGCTCGGAAAAGCTCGGAAGATAAGTACAGGATTCTCAGTATAGCTCGGGAATCGAAATTAAGTGTAGAGACTGACAGGCAAGTACTCTTGGAAGAAGATGCCCGCTTCTTCCTTGTTCAGAGCTCTCCAGGGAGGAGCTCACGACGGAAGATGGTGGTACTCAACTGTACACTTGGTAACGACGATAATTGGCGCTGGAGTTTTGGGAATTCCGTCCGCGATGGTCTACTTGGGATGGTAAGCAAGCTTGGTTTACGAATTTGATATCCATTGTTTCAGTGAGAACTTGATTTTGCAGGTGGGGAGGAATGTCGCTGCTGCTCGTCTCCTATGTCATCACATTCTGCACACTGTGGCAAATGGTTCAGCTCCATCACTTGGAAGATGAGAGAATAGACAGGTTTCCCGACTTGGGAGGAAAAGCATTCGGTCGGGGTGGCTGGTACTTCGCATTTGCTCTGCAGATGA